GCTCACTCACCACACAGGTTGTTCACACAGACTGTGCCCTTGGGACACATTGAACACGGGGGTCCTTTCCAGTAGGGCTTCCGGATACTCCCATTACCCCTGGAAGCAGAAGATGCCAAGAAAAAGAAGGCGTGAGCAAAGAGTGGTCTGATTCAGCTGGGATATCCCAGCCAAGGCAAAACTCAGGATTAATGTAACAAACAGGTCACGGTCTCCTGCCACGGACTGTCAGTGCCATTTACTCAACAGCCTGAACCCAAGGCTGCTAAAGCCAGGGGACACAGCTCCATGGACCAGATCCTTCACATCCCTTAGAACAAAACACTGGATGGGCACTGGGACAAGTGATTCTGTCTCCCTTCTGCTCACAAGCCCTAAGAAGGTCTGCAGCCAGCAGCTGCTCTAAATTGGTCTCAGCAGCCCCAAGCAAGTGGTCCCAAAGCTGGTCCCAGGGCTGTGAAGGGGGTACCAACTTCTCCTTCCACATCCAACCCTTCCTGCTGCTGCCAGCAGGGAAGAACCAGGCCTAGAGCAGGGAGCTGTTTGTACCCTCAGCTACTGCGACTTCACCTTCAGGCAGCTCTCAGGGCAGAAGGTCCCTCCCTGGGTCTGTGCCAGAAGCTGAACCAGACCTCAGCAATCACGGGCAAGGATCGCCAGACAACCCTTCCTTCCTCTGTGACCAACCCAAGATAAGGAAGGCCTTTCTTTGAAACTGCTTTGCTTCTATTTCTGACCAAGGTCAAACTCTGCTCTGATGAAAGGACTGAAGGAAGGACATTTCCAGCACAAAAAACCCATCAAGATCCAACAATCCATGCAGGATCTGGGACTTACCAGGGAAAATACTTGCAAACCAGCAGGTGCATGTTCTCTGTTTCCTTTCCTTCGATCTTCTCACAAAGCTTTGCCCCGCAGCCGATGTGTTCCGTGTCTGCCCAGACCATCTAAGGCAAAGACCAGGGGTGAAGGTGAGGGGATTGGGTGAAGGCAATCTGCCCCCTGGCCTTGAAGGCTGCTTCATACATCCATTCACATAATTACCACAACCATCTCTGTTCCTCCTTGTTCCCATCCAAGCTGTGAAGAAAATCCAGACTTTGTCTCTCTGCCTGAGACAAGCTGGCACCCAGCTTTGCTGAGCAGCTAAAAGAGGGCTGCAGAGCTTGTTTCAGAAAAAAGGTCTTCTCCCAAAGGCTGGTCATTGCTGGTACCATGCCCAGGTCCCCCTGTATCATTGTGATTCCCACCTGGTTCCCCATCCCTTTGCAAAGACTTTGGGAGGAGCTGGGGCTCTGGTACAGTGCCTTTCCCACCAGCCCCATCCCTCCACCTCAGCAGCTTGTACCTGTTTGTAGTTGGCACACTGTAGTTGCCCAGGGTGACATTTGGATGTTAACAAGCTGTAGAATTTCCTCTCCTCGTTCCATTCTGCCACAGCATGTTTGAGGTCCAGGGTTGGGGCCATAGCAAAGAGGTTTTCCTTGTGTCTGCCACTCTCCTCGTGCTCCCAGATGCACTTCTCTGCATGGGATTGAGCATCAGCCTCCAGCTCCGTGTCCCAGGTCTGAAAGGAGCTCAGCATCAGCACAGAGAGAGGGACACAGGGCTCTCCAACATGAACAAGGCACTTACCAAGGACCTCTGGGCTCTCTGGCCACACAGTTTGCCCATTCAGGAGTAAAATTCAAATCCCCACCCAACACAGTCATCAGGAGAGGTCAGGATGGTCAGATCCAGAACAAAACAAACCTTGACTTATAGGTCAAACAGGAGGAGGTCAGTGCATCAGCACAACTTTCACAACCTCACCTGGAGCACATCCAACATCATCACAGACCGTCCTCAGCTCAGCGAGGAGAAACTGTCACAGTGCTCAGGGTTCTGGCTCTGGCCCCTTTGAGTCTGCAGTCACCAGTCAGACCTCTCCCTGAATTTAGATTTTTGGTTCTTTTGGTCGTTAAGCTCCTGTTTACCAGCCCACAAAGGTTTTACTTCACCTGGGCAACTCTTGAGTCAGGCAGGGAGGTCTCCTCCAAGCACAGGGTGACCCAAAGAGGAAAGGACTCCAACTATCCATGACAAACACTTGTCTTTCTCCACATGATTTGCAAACAATGAGGACAAATGATGTGGTGGAAGATAAAACATGATATCCAAATTTTAGTCAAGAGTCCGTAGAAGACAAAAGGTAGCACCAGTTCTAGAGCTTGTTTGTTCTCCCCCTGCAGCGACACACGATGTGGGACATGATTTGGTTTCCCTGAGCAAAATAGGGGATCCCTCACCTCCAAGGCAGCCATGCACAAGGCATGGTGAGGATTAGGAGTGGGATGGACAGCCCAAAAAACTGAAAGACCTGGGGGTCATGTTTGAAGTTGATGCAAATACATCAGCAGGATTCCCCCTCCAGCTCCTGCAAATGGCCATGGCAATGTCTCCAGCTCATGGCACCTGCTCATGGCAAGGTCTCACCTGCCCTTCCTCCTCATCACAAGAAGCTCCAGGAGGCACCCATGAGTGAGAACTGCATCACTCTCAAAGCATTGGGGGACTCAGATCACACTTAAAAACTGCCAGAAATTATCAAAGACAATTCTGTAGTTCAAGGAAACTCATCTCTTTAGAGCCAGTTTAGGGAACCTCCCCACTGACACCTACTTGTAACCCTACATGACAATTGCTCACGCTCCCCTAAGGAACTCCCTGATCCCTCCCAGCACTGAGATCAAGGTTTGCACCACACAAACACCCCGAGATTCCTCTGCAATAAGAGCCACTTACCAATTTCATCATAGCCATGGCAGGAGGAGAGACCTGGGAGCGGTATCTGTTATGCTCATCCAGGATTATCTTCTTTTCTTCCTCACTCAGGGACCAGCTCAGCTCCAGCACTGTGAGCACCAGGAAAACAGGGGGAAGACCCGAGCTCAGCATCGTGCAGTCGGCTTCTGCTCTTGGCAGCCCAAGGCTCTGGCAGTGAGATTTACAGCAAGGAACACCCAACAGCTTTTCAAGATTGGGGAGGAAATGTATTTATTAGAGTTTTGGACCCACGTGGGACACACCCCTGTCACGTATCGCCCTTCATGAAGAGGCACCACTGCGGCTGGTGCCAACAAATGCACAGGACAACTCCTGTCTCCAGAGACTCCAGAGACCAGAAACACCCTTCCTGGGCAGCTGTTCCAGTGCTCTGCCACCCTCCATGGAAAGAACTTCTTCCTCATGTTGAGGTGAAACTTGTTGTGTTTTAGTTTATGGCCATTGCTCCTCGTCCTGTCCCTGGGCACCACTGAAAGGAGTCTGAAACCATCCTCTTGGCACCTGCCTTTAAGATATTTACAGGCATTAATGAGATCCCCTCTCAGTCTTCTCCAGACTAACCAGGCCCAGCTCCTGCAGTGTCTCCTCATAGGAGAGATGCTCCACTTCCTCAATCATTTGGGCCTCTGCTGGACTCTCTCCAGTAGCTCCTTGTCCTTCTTGAACTGTGAAGACCAGAACTGAACACAACACTCCAAATGTGCCTCACCAGGGCAGGATTCACCTCCCTTGATCTGCTGGCCACACTCTTCCCACTGCCCCTCAGGATCTCCTTGTCCTTCCTGGCCCCCAGGTCACACTGCTGGCTCATGATCAACTTGTCACCCACCAGGACCCTGCTCCTTCTCCACAGAGCTGCTCTCCAGTAGGTCACCCCCAACCTGTGCTGGTACCTGGGGTTATCCCTCCCCAGGGATTACAGGACTTAGCTCTTGTTGACCCTCATTAGGTTTCTCTCCTCCCAACTCTCCAGCCTGTCAAGGTCCCACTAAATGGCAGCACAGTTTCTTTTTCCCAAAGTGTTTCTTATCACATTTCTCAAACAATGTTGGGAAATGTTCTGACTTTCGGTTTAAAATTACACTTCCACTTAGAAAAAATGCCCTAAAAAGGGTTAAATAACCTCTCAATGGCTGACATGCAACACGAAAATAAAAATCAGAAAAAGGGAAAAGGTGCATTAACACTTGTATTTAATTGCAAAAAGTAAAAACTTTTTTATTCTTCTTACATACAAATCTCATTTATTTACACACTTTACAGGCTTTTCCCAAGTATTTACAAAGTTTGCAATATATTAAATTATGACCATCCATAAAATTCTGCATTAAGTGCATATTTACATTCTTTCTTTTGAATCCACCACTGAATTTAGTGTTCAGCATTGAAAGTCTTTATGCATATATAGCTTTACTTCCCAGCACCCCTGAGCCTTTAGAACATGGCTCCCCTCCCCAAGACAAAGAGATAATGCTAAAAATAAATCACCTGCCATTTGTCTGAATGTCCACAGCAAAGGGGAAGTCCAGCATCTCCCTTGTCTAACTCAGCAGGACACTAAATCTGCCCTTAAAAAGGAGGAGGTTCCTGAAGAGGAGAATATCGAGCTCTACCTGTAAAATTTACCAAGAGGAGAAAAGTCTGGTCTACAGGAAGCAAAAGCTCTTTGTGCACCCACTGAAATGGCCTCACCCCAGGAAGTGTTTGGTTCTCTTAGAAACCATGGGGTTGAACATGGACCACCAAGCCTGGAATTGGGTGGATGTGGAAAATTCCCTCCTGGAGCAGCATTACCAAGGAGAACCAGGGGGTTTCAAGGCAGGAGGACCCCTTTTCTGAGACACTGGTGTTTACAGAGCTCACATCTCTACCATGAGATGTCCTGCTCCCAACTCCTCTTGCTTGGGATGCTCCTGCTGTTGGAGCCCAGGAGGCCACAAGGGAAGGGAGGTGCTTTGATCCAGCCCAGTCTGAGCAGCTTCTCCACCAGAACGTTGCAAAAACAGGACTAGAGGGAGAAGCTGAAGTCCAGAGACTCATGGGAAATCTGCCTCTAGAAAGCTCTCCAGGGCGTTGCAAAGGGAGCCTGAGGCTGGGAGCCCTGGGGGAATCAGTGTGTGCAGTGCCAGCGGGGAGGAAAAAACCAGAAAAGAAACAAAGAAAGCAAAAAAAACCACCAAAAAAGAGAATCAATAGAAACTGTCAGCCTGGCTCCCGTGGGGGCTGCTGATTTCCTGGTACTGAAGTAAATCATAATAGTCCTTTCTCCTCCTTTCAATTACCCTGAGTTCAGGACTGAGAGCAACGGTCAGTGACCCCTGCTTTGGGAAGCAGCTTTAAACCACGATCCTCCTGCCCAGCTGATGGGGCACAGCCCATCTTTCCAGCCTGGCAAGGAGAGAGGTGACCCCTCCCCATCTCTGCCTGTGGGTAGTACCGATTTCTGGTGTGATTTCAGAGCAGCTCTGCAGCCCCCGGGATTGCTGGGTGAGCAGGAATCCATCTCCCAGCTCAGAGAACACGAGCTCTGAAGCACAAAGGGATTTTAAAACACTGGGATGCACACATTGACTGGGAACCCCTCTGAGCTGGGCAGGGTGGGAGTGGGGGATTGTCCAAACCAGCACAGCGAGTGCCAAGGGGCAGCTGAGGCGAGGGGAGACCATGGTGGGACACCCCCTCTGTGACTCATCTGGTTGTGTCTGTCACCAAGATGCTTCAATGGCTGCAGAAACAGCCCCATCCCCCCAGTTCAGCCTCAACAGGCTCTCTAGGGAAGTCCCAGCCTCCTGCAGCCTTTCCAAGGGCTCTGTAAAGCTGGAGCTCTTGATGAGAAACACGACCAGGGCTCACTTGCAGCTAAAGGTATCAAAACCTCCTTTTGGCCATCCTAGTTTTTGCCACTTTGGCCTCACCTCCGGGTTTCCCACCTGGCTCCTCGCCCGCGGTGCCGAAGGTGCGAGCACCACTCCTCTGGCAGCTGGAGACAGGAGCTGCTCTGGAAGCTGTGCTGCAGACTGGGGCTTGGCAGCTTCAGCCAAAATCGGCTCTTTATCAGCAGGAGAACTGCCCTCCTGTTTTAGTTTAGCAGCTAATTCCTTACAGCTTTTGGAAGAGGAAGAGAAAATATACTGGAAAGCTTAAAAACAAATGATGTAAACTCCGAAGGGAGCAAGGCTGGGACATATGCAATGTATCGCCCAGACACTGAGCTGGAAACTTATGCAGAGCCCATAAAGTGCACTTGGAGAGCTGCTCTGCACACAGGCCACACTCACCAGCTCCTGTCCAACCAGCTGCAACTGTTTGAGGAGGGGAGAAGATATACGTGAGAACACTTCTGCTAAACAGGCACAAACCTGCCCCTTTCCTCCCCCTTCCCCCCCAATCTAAACAGCAACCGTAAATAGATCCATTTTCTCTGCCTCTTCCCGAAAGAGCCAGGCAGCCACAATGGCTTAAGTGCGACTCTCAAAATCCAGGCATTTCACAGACACTTGGGAATTGTCTCCACAGCTCTTTTACAAGTTACAGTCAAGGACACTTAGCAGTGACAGCGTCACCGAACCGCCGCGATCTCAGCAAGGAAGGCTCCAGCAGCATCTCTGAGCAAGTGCTTTACAAAAACAGGTCAGGTATAAAACCAGTGAGAGGTGAAGTAACCTTGTCAGCCTTTAAATTTGATTTGAGCAGCTGCCAAAGTGTAAATAGCAACAGTCACTAACGAGGCCCTGATTCTGCCATCACCAAACTCCCAAATTTCCATTAACTAAGACGCAGGTTTTAAGGGGAGGGAGGGGGTGGGGGGTGTGTGTGTGTCTTGGCATGTACAAGATTGCATGTAGTGTCATGAGTGTAAAATACACTCCAAGCAATGAGAATACTAATGGAAGTCTTATTAATCCAATTCTCTTTAATATTTTGCTACAAATTAGATCAGTCCTTTTCTATCCCGAGAGAGTCAGACTCTCCCCCTTTGGTTCTACTACATCTGGTGTGTGTGTTGGTCCAGCACTGAGGGTTATTAACACAGACTGACACAGGTGCTGGGGTTGTTCTCAGTGTTTTGACAGGAAAAAAACAACAGTTATGCATAGAAATGTTTGTAGTGTCAAGGCCTCAGACTAAATTCTTTGGAGCAGGAACTGTCCTTTGCCTTATCCTTGTAGAGGAGCCAGACATGGTCATCCCACTTGGTGGCTTTTGTCAGCCCCTAATAAGATTAGTACGATGTTTGCTCCCATTTTTCTCAAAAACAAAGGCTGGACAGACATTTTTCCAATCTGTCATTTCACACGTACCTAAAATATTTACAGAGAGAAAGGCTCCTGCTCCTGAGAACAGAGTTAACTCACTTGCAACCAAAACCCCTCCCAGTTCCATATTAACAAGTGTGAGAGCATGTCCTGAACCCCAGCCCTGGCCTATGAGTTCAGCCTGACACATCTGCAAATGATCTTCAGCAGCGGGACCAGACCCAGAGGATCAGACTTGGAAGGGACGGCAGCATCCGCAGCCTGCAAACCCTGAACCCGAGCCTCTCTCAGGGCACTGGAGACAGCAGTGCTCCAGCAGCAGGAAACATGCAAAGGCAGCTTGGAAAGGACCCAGGAAAAACCAACCTTCACTCTGAAGACAGAGCTCCAGGTCTGGAAGGAGTTGGTATAAAAATGATGAGGGATGAGGGAGCTTCCAGGTGCTCCTGCAGGTCCCCTGGGCTGGGAACGCAGGCAGTGCCTCCAAAAACAAGGAGCTGAAACTGGATGTGCAGCCCTTGGTGTCTCAGGTGAAACCTGAACAGAGCTGCTCTACTCCCAGCCCCATCTCCATCCAGAACTCCTGCACTCCCAGCACCAGCACCACTAACACGTGTGTCGGTGCTTTTTGCAGGAAAGGAGGTGGAAGAGAAAAAAAGCACAGTTCCTATTTGACTCACAACCTGCAGATAGAGAACCACGAGAGTGATCACAACAGAGAGGCCTGAAGAGATTCTTTTGGTACAAGAATGATACAGTGGGCAAGGGGCAGAGACCCTCAGGCTCAAGGCTCCCCCCAGCCTGGGAGTACAGAGCTGGGATCAGCTTTGGGGGAGACACAGCCATAGATGTGAGGGAGAGGTGGGGTGAGGCTGGGACACATCACCAATTCATTCCCTTTATAGAACTGGCCTGACAAGACAGGCTCAAAGCTTCCTCCTCAGGAGGAATGTACACAGAAATGTCACACACCCCCTCCACTCCCAAACCCCCTCAGGAAGTTTCAGAAGTGCCATAATCCACAAAGGACACAAGGTGAATCTCATCCTGAGAAATCCTTCTGCTGTTCCTGGAAAAAAAACCTTTGCTGCAAACTCAGGGCTTACCTGAGGGGACAGGGAAGGTCATAAATAGCTTGAGCTTCTCCCAAAACACATTTGAGGAAAGG